GGCTGGAGTGTGAAGGATCCAGAACACGCATAGCTGGAAACGATCTTGGATATGGCAAGAAATCGTGCACAGTGACGGACTTGTGACTCACTATTCTCATGAACACGGTTTTTCCCGTCTCCCTCCGTTTGTGTACTGTATTTTTCGTAAGTTGTGGCACTATGTCAATTATACTATTGGCGGTGTTGAATATATATATATATATATATATATATATATATATATATATATTCCTCACTGCCGCTGAACGACCTCGCAGGAAAAAGAATCGGGTTTGCATGTGTATGGCTAGCTATTTCATAAGATTAGCTTCAGGAATAAAAGCTAAAATATGAGGATCAAACATTCGGCATATCAAAGCGGTTTTAGACAGCCACAGTTGCTGCGACCTATGAAGACCTCTGAAGTAGCGTTGTGCCTGCAGCCGAAATGACACAAAGGATGGAAATAAACTGATCGCTGTGTTTAGCACCGCGTTGTCGAGCACAAGTCTCAAGCCCAAGTGTCCTAGCTGAGCAATATGTTGTGCACAGGGAATTCAAAGCACCACGGTCAACTAACGCTAATGATCGGGACGCGAGTGCCCAAAAAGAAGCTTCTCAAGTATCATCCGATCGAGTGCACACCTATGCCGCTGAAAGACTATGAAAGATATCGTCCTGCGGAGTTCCACCGCCACTCTAGCCAACGATGCCTATCAGTTATCCTATAGGGCTCAGCACTCCACATCAGATGCTGTAACATTTGTTGTTCGATCCACAGCGTCTGCTCCGAACGACGGAGCCGGCCCACACTCCTTCACAGGCAAATATAAGTACGCTGTATTTGGGGAATCAAGCGCACACAATGCGGTGGCTAGACCGTAGTCCGCTCCACACTGACTGTATGGAACCACTCTTCGAGGCTAGCACGACCACAAGGACCGTGCACCCCGTCCCCTCCAGCAACGACCAACTGTCTCCTGGAGCCAGTATGGACGAGGTAGTGGGTAATAGACAGGTAGGCACCTTTTCAACATGCACATCAAGCGCAGCCACAACGGGAATATCAAGCAACAGCCAATCACTTGGGAGAAAGATAACCAAAAAATAAACCGAGTAATGCATTAAGAAACGGTGACATAAATCAGTGAGCATATGAAATAATTTGTTTACCAACGAATACGAGGTAAGTTAACGAGGTCAGGAAGCTTATTTTACGGAAATGCTACAAACACGAAAATGTTATCGAAATAACTACAAGTGGCTTAAGCGACGTGTGCAAGTGTATAGAAGAGAGTATAAGTAGGCATTTATATGGGAAAGAAAAGCACTAGGACAAAATTGAAAACGCACCACCTGAAATAAACAGAATTAGCATGCAAGCACGCGGTTAGTAAATCGAATGCAGCGTGCCTACAAACGCTGTGCCGATTTTGTCTACGTTCTCTGCAGGACTCGTCGTCGCTTCGGTAGCGGTCACGAGTGGCCTCGCTCATGGCTCACTAGGCCTGCCTGACTCAGGCACTCGCGACCGCATGTTCTACAGCACCATGCGCTTGATGTCGATGGAGTACAACCCATCGGTGCTTGCCGCTTCCGCAATTGCCGCTTCTTCTCTGCATATATGAGGTCTTTTCTCCGCAGTTCGACAACTGCCTTCATGATTAGATCGCGCCATGCACGCCGATCAACCGCCTTTGATTCCCATGACCCGCAATCAAGATTAGAACGTGAGAGACTCACCTTGAGCATGTCCTGGTAACTTTGGTTTCCCCATATGCCGCTTCCCAATACTCAGCTGACCGTATAAGAGTCGTTTCGGTATCCGCGTTGAATCCATACGTCACACATGACCAAGCCACCCCAGATGTCTCAGAAAAAGTATGCAATATATATATATATATATATATATATATATATATATATATACAACAGGGGGAAATAGTACAATCGGCACAGTGCCATAGCGTATAGAAAATACAATAAACAAACGAAGAGAAAATAGTAACAGTATTCATAGGAATAGGGTGTCACAGCAGGTCCACCATTGCGCACGGTTACTTGCCATATCCGATAGTGTTTGCAGGCATGCGTGTTTGTGATCTTTGCGTCCCCAGCCACGGAGTCGAGAGCGCCAGACCTCGGCTAACTTTGAGGTTAGCTCCTTCATGTTTCTGGCCCGTCATACCTTGGCCACCATGCTTTAGCTATCAGCCGACTTCCGCGAACGTGAAGAGGGCACGGCGAGGTAAACGATGAGTAGGCATGCAAAGCACATGCCCAAACCCCTGATTCTTGCGTCCCTAACCACGGAATCGAGAGCGCCCGACCTCGAATAAAGTTGACATTAACACCATCATCACCACGGTCCATTACAGTCGCGCAGTACCTGGTAGCAGATCTACGCCAAAAGCTAGGAGACCTTCCAGAGCCCTTGATAAGACACCATTATCCGCAAACTTGAAGAGAAACGGGGACATGGGGCATCCCTGTCGCGTGAGTTAAATTGACCAGTTATGGTCCGACCATCGAAGTGCGGTGGATCCAGCCGCCACGACTCTCCTCGCAAGAACAAGAAATAATAACGGCAGGGTAGTGAGGTTCCGTGCAAATAGAACGCAGAGCAAATGAAAGAAAGAGGGAAATGTGTTAGATTAATCAGAATGGAAAGAAAAGTAACAACCAGATGAAAAAAGCCGAATGTAGGAGCGGCACTGACTTCGTGACTGCGCCATGTCTGACACGCTCTCCAACCATTGGTGTGGACCGTCCCGAGACCCCGATTCATGCACCAGCTTGACCAAATCTCTCAGTTAATATCTTCAAGCTTCTATGCTATGTCATGGAGTGGCCGCCTCACGGCTTCGTCCAACCTGGTGCGGCCACGGCGTATAATGCACGGCGGTCAACCGACATACGGAGGACATAGCCTAGCCAACCCAAGAGACTATGATTGATCAGACACTCGACAAAGGCACCAGAAGGTATCTTGCTAAAAACCAACAGGCGGACCTCAGCGTTGCTCCCCCAGTGTTCCCACCAAACATGAGCAATACTTCGCAAGAACCGGCAGTTAAACACGGTCAAGTGTTTAATGCCTTTACTGCGAACCGGCAAAGTCTCTGATCCGTAAAGTAACACAGGCCTTATCGCAGTGTTTACACCCTACTTTCCACTGACAAGCCGATATCCCGCCATCTCCATAGATGATTGAGTCTATGGAAAGCGACACGGACCTTGCTGATACGCGAAGTAACCTCTTCAGTGATGTGACCACTAGAGATGACACAGGTACCAAGGTAAGCGAACCGATTCATTACTTCCAGTGGCTGTTCGGTGTGGCGGTCCAGTCCTGCAACAGTTTACCGCACTTTGAAGGTGCAAAGTACATGCCGAAGCGTACAGCGCTACGCAAATCTGCGCAATGGTGTTTGCACAACCAATGCATCAGACCCTAAGGGAACTGTCGTCTGCATACTCCAGGTTTTTCAGTCGGTCGCCTGCCAGGATTTCAACTCAAGAATAAGCTAAAAGAATCGAGTCATTCATGATCATTTCAATCACAAAGTTGATGAGAAAAGGAGATATAGGACAACCCTGGCGAACCTCACTTGTCCTGGGGAACTCAGGAGAGTTTCCCGTAGACCCTAACACAGACTCGAAAATCACGGTAGAGGGACTTGAGAATGGAAAGGAATTTAACCGGCACGCCCTTCACCGATAAGCGGTGCCGCAAGCTGAATGCGTGTCTGCTCCAAAACTTGGCGAAGAATGAATATGTGGTCGATACAATCACGGTCAGGGAGGAAGTCAGCCTGCCCGTGTTTATCAATGTTTATGGGTTTACTTCAACACCATCATTATTGTTGTCATCAACACCATCATCAGCACCGGCATCGATGTTGTCATAATAATAATAATAATAATAATAATAATAATAATAATCACTATCATCATCCACTGCAGCAGCAGCGGCGGCGGCAGCATGATCATCATCATCAGCAGCAGCAGCAGTGTAAGTATGCTTTGTAAAGACGCTTCGTTGCCATGCAACCGGGCCTCCACTAATGAGGAGCGAAAAGGAAGGAGGAGGACCTATTATGCCACCGTAACCTAAGTCTAATTCGAGTGTCTACATCTTAATCACAGGAAGGAAAGAGGCGTAAGCAATACACAGGCATACCCTACTGACGATTTGCTGCCACCCCACAAACACCAGTCGCGTGTGCGTTGAGTATACCGCGATGTCGCCCGCAACTAAGCGGATTCAAACCGGTGACCTCCAGATTACAAGGCAAGCGTGCAATCGTTTTGGTCACGGACTGACAGCCTGGGCAAGAATTGGGCTGCATACCGAACGGGGTGAAGTAGCCAAGTTGGGTGGTTCTCAAGGAGTTGACCGAAAATGGAAAGTGGTCGTGGCGCGAATCCCGGTAAACACGCAATAACCCACCGGCTCTACACAGTAAAATGTTGCAAGGCAATGAATCTGTGCGCCTCACAAAGTTACTGGTTGTCTCGCGCATTTGATTCTGGTGAGCTTGCTCGGTGAGTCCGAAAATATTGCGAGGCCCAATATTAGATAATAAATGAACCAAATTAGAGGATATTACGTACAACGCGAGGGGTAATGAAGTTTCACGCGCCGTAATCAGCCCGCCACATCAAACATTCTCCGGTTCATTTAAAAAGGTCGGTTATCAAAAATGCCATATGCATGACAAAGAACGGACTCCAAAGACCCGCTAAAACGATAGGCAACCGCAAGCTAATCAAGTTAAAATAATGAACATGTTTCTAGTAAAGGAGGGTTATTCGAATTCAGAGATAATTGAGATCCTAAGGAATTGAATATGGGTGAAGTTTGACGCAACTTCCCAGTTACACTACATGGGACGCTGTGTGAATAGCCACAATGTCAAGATATGATTGCAGATGGACAGCAAGAAAGACTTCAGAATGACAAACAAAGGTTAAAAATCAAAAAGCAATCTGGCACACACTGAATTGGAGACATACGGGAGATTGAGCACTGTTGAGCTCGTCATGAAAATGATCCTTCGAGTCCTTTCCATGGGAAGTTGGCTTCAAATCAACCTGATCGAGATCCGCAGTGGAAGGGACATCTGTGAGAAGGGAGCGTGTGCCGAGCTCCTCCATGGAAGAGACGACAGCGGATGATGGCTTAGCGAGATCACCAGCTGTCTGCAATTCAGAGTATCCCGAGTTTAAACAGCCACTATGAGCGTAAGTGAAATCTGGCTCAAAGTTAGGATTTTTCATAGCGGAGGCGCATGTGTCAAAGATAGGTTTATATGCGTCCCGAGGAGGCCTGTAGGTTGAGAGGGAGCATGTAATGCGCCCGGAAGAGAATTCGCCCATGCACTTGCGTGCACTACGATCCTTTTCGTTCAACGATTGGCACAAAGGGAAACGAGCCTCCGGAAACGATTCAGGTGGTGGCTCCAACCGTAGGGAAGTGCGATAATTATCCTCTTCGATAAATTTTTGCAGCTCCTCAATGTACTTCTGAGCACGCAGGTAGGAGTTGATTGTGTCATCGACCACGAAGGCTAATAGAAAGAAAAAAGCGATGAAAAATAATATCAGGATAAGTGAAAAGAGGATCAGACAAGATCAACAAAAATAGGATCGCATCATATGTGCGGCGAAAGTAAATCAGGTGCGCATGTCTCTTCCCCATAGAATAGTAACTAATCCTTATGGGGGCCTTAGAGTGAAGTGTCCGATATCGGAAGCTAACTGGATAGCAAAGTCAAAACAGGTTTCAAACATTTTGGTGAGCAGTTAAATTATTGCTGTAGACGCAGTAAGACACAGTAGTAAGCAGATACAATAAGGACCGGTAAAAAGTAACATGTTTGCAATCTGCTGTCTGCCAAACGGTGGATGAGGAAAGACTTGGTCTGTCGCATCTAAAGGAGGGGTAGTAAAAGCACCCGCAGTCTGTCAACACGAATATATGACATCAAGGCAAGTGGAGGGTAAGGTTGCCGAATGCATGCAGGATGATAAGTGCACCTGATCCTGGCAGAAGTCTCGAAGTGGCGGGGAAAGACAAATCATATATATATATATATATATATATATATATATATATATATATATATATATATATATATATGACTGGCGGCATCCGACTCAAGATTTGTCTGTCACTGCGGTCTCCGCAGGACATCCACAGGACCCTTGCACCTACAGACGGAATGTGGATGGCCTGTGCTGCACCATTCACAGCTCCATCCACACATCCCATATAAGGTGTGAACCCTGGAGACTTGCGAATGGGAGCCGCAATTCATCAACGGAGCCGGCTCTCACTATCTCAACAAACAGAGCAGCATTCATGCCTACTTGGGAAATCATGCGTATCAGACGTACACATGGCGGTGGCTGGGTCGCAGCCCGCTCCACAATGGATGCATAAAGCACTCTGAGCTTAGCACAGACACGAGAACCATGCACTCCGTCTATACAAGCAACAAGCTGCCGCCTGGAGCTAGTATAATTAAGGTAGCAGATTTTCGACAGATAGACACAGTGTCAACATTCACATCAAACGCAGCCACACTTGGGATATCAAACAACTAAAACAGTGTATGGAAGTAAACACGCAAATTGGACAGTAAATATGCGGCAGAATGTGAGAACAGAGCAAATGGCATGGATGTGCACAAGGTTGGATGCAGTGCAATTGTGATCTTGAGCACCTGCAATGGCAAGCCATGGAATAGAAACTTTTTAACACGAGAACGCCAAGAAACAGGAAAAATGTGGGCGATTAACAAAACTGAGTAAATAAAAAAATGATACAGTCAGATTTAGTGTGATGCGGAACAATCAACAAGCAACAGCTGAAATGCAAAAGATAATCGAAAGCACTCGTACAGATCAACTGCAGCGATGATGTAGCACACGTACCACATGGACCGTATTATTGGCCTGGGTTAGTAAATGGAATCAGAAGCAGCGTACTTACCAAGCGCTGCACTGATGATGATTACCTATTCAGCTGACGTGTCTTCCCTTAGATGTTGACCCTGCGTGGACACGCAGGTGTCTTACCAGACCAGCTAGGGAAGCGATGGTAGAGGATCGGTGCCGATAACGAGAGGATAACAAGTGGGTGGTGGCCCAGGTGTATGAGAAAGCACTGTTGCGTGAGGGGAAAATAAACTCCGTGTACAGAAGCAACAGTTAATCATTGAGTATACACCTTATCTAGAGGTGAAAAACACCTCAACTAGTGTGCCGCAATACATAAGAAAAGAAAACAACAACAACCGGTGCACGTCAGCTGAGCTACCAGTAACGGATGGGCATCGTTCCGGAAAGCTACCAGCCGGCTACTATGCAGCAAAAAATTTATTGTGCAAAATTTGGTTCATGCTAAGAAATGAGATCGCGGTTGAGGAGGGGGAGAGTAAGAGGGATGGGGTGGGACAAAGAAACTCACAGCACGAACGCCAATGGGGTCGGATCCTAGCCATGTCAGCAAGTGTATCCACCAAAAGGTGTTCATCGTACTTCGGACCTCAACAAAGGAATCGAGACGTTCCGACTGAGGTCAGCTTCGAAGTGAGGACCTCTCGACCAAGTCATCGCTTGGCGGTGATGGAGGATAGCTCATCGACGTCGAGCGCATGGTGCTGTAGAGCACATGCAGTCGTGAGTGTGTCAGCCAAGCTGGAAGCCAACCACACGCCTTATGACTAGATAAAAATGCATGGAATCCAAAAAGCGAAAGCGGAAGCAAACAATTGGGATGCTCACGGTGAGATCGGATCTTGATGTGCCCTGATAACCAGCCTACCTCTCCTAGTTACTAAGCTAGATTAGACCATCCTGTTCTCTAGACTAGGGGCTTAAACCGGGGCAGAAGCTAGTTAGGTGAAAATGGCGAGTCTTGTGGACAGTTAGGAGTTAACCATGTTTTATGGCCAGACTTCTGGAGAGGCGTTGGAACAATGATGAGATGCCGGCCCACATACAACTAGGACTATGAAATGGAGCGTCTGCATGCACTTGCATCCACCGCATTGCAAACAGCGCGGCGGACAAACGGAAACAGACCCCTATGATATCTCTGTGCTTTTTCACCTCCTCTAAACTTTCCGTGTAATTACCAGATATGAAAAAGAAGCTGTGGTATCACTGAAGTTCAGTCATTTACATCCACAGTACCAAGTCACTCAATAATTCCTTAATGTCATAAATTTCACGCCAGACAACGCTACTCGGTTTCATTGGCTGCGTTCAACATTCGGACGTTAAGAAAGTAAAACATCGTGGATTTACACAAACACCGATGATTCGCCGGAACTAGAATCCACGACTTTTATATGACAATCGAACTATTATTCTAAGCTTATCTTCTTGGTGCTGGTTGGACGCTTTCGACGATGCGGCGTGGCACAGTGGGCATCGTTCCCACATCACCATGAGCCTCACGTAGTGTAGCTTCATCCGTTACGGCTACCCATTTTTTATTATCTACCTCAGTCGCTTAAACGTGTGGAAAAACCGGAGCAAATCGTTCCTCCTCAATAAGACAGAGAAACTGTGTGTATTAAACGTCAACTGAACCCGCACTACGAATTACTTTCGTTTTCGAGCTCTGAAAACATGGAGGTTGGGTGAAAAAGAGCATCGAAGTTCCCTCCGATCAACTGTCACGACACCGAGCATTGAAGAAGAAAAAAGTTCATGAGCCTAGAGAAATTCAAGTCTCCACAAACTCCAAAACCAGATAATCTATCAGAGAAGAGTGAAAATGGCGTCTGTGAACCAAAAGTTCAGTTTGGTGGGTTCAAGGAATGGAAGAGACAACGGTGGTGGATGACCAGAGCAGACTCTTCCAAGCAATACGCGCTACTGGTCACGTCAAGCCAGTAGTAAGTGGGAGAAGTATAGACAGCACTGGTACTCTAGTTCATCGACACTAGCGTCGTACTACCAGATGGATCAACCCAGTCGGTTTCTTGTTACGGGGCTGGTTAAAGCTTTGGTGGCGTAGGCTAAGAGGGGACCAACTGAAGCTGAGGTTCCAAAAGTGATCCCATCCCAAATCGATGTCGCGTGAATGATTCGGATGCTCTCGTATCCATGCTGTGTAAGGATTGCTCAGAGGCTAGACGTGAAGAACTGGTTCGGTTGTTCAAACAGATAAGGAAGGAGAAGGTCATAGCAAAGTGAATCAAATCGAATCCGGAGGCAAAAGCCAAGAGAAATGATCGCAACATGTGTATTAAATACAGGGGTAGAAGCCTGACAGCCGTGTTGACAAAAAAGCAGTTTCAAATGCAATTTGCAGCCTAAATGCAGAATGGGAACAGCAAACGAGAAAACAGTAGGAAAGAAACGACTGGGTCATATGTTCACTACTTGTGTCACACACATAGGCTAACTGCGTTCTTAAAGTCCATTGACACAGTTGATTCGGCTGATAGCCATGTTCAAATGGGTATAAACAGTAACGCCATTTTGTACATGCGTAAAATGGATATGTGTCCTATGTACGAGTAAATCACATCCCGACAGGGGATGCAAGACGAGTCGTCGGACGTCTGGATGAAATGTCTCAGCGAGCATCGCTAAGTTCCAGAGATTGCGTGGAGACCCAATGTCCAGGTTGGCTACAGCCCAACCTGCTATGGCGGCCAACTGTCTATGGTGACCAGCCTAAAACACCCCCAACATTTTCTCCTATGAGTAATGTCCCTATACATGAACCTGTACATGGCGACCACCTGTCCAAAGCGACCACTTCTTATCGGTCCCTTGAGTGGTCACCTTACGTAGGTTTGACTGTATTATATTTACTACATGGAGATTTGTCTGATGTTAATAAGTGCTGGTGAACACGCGACCAGTGACCATTTAAGGGTATTCAGCAGGCGCTTACTCAACCTGAATGCTAGCGTACTTCGATATGCATTTAGAACATCTGGTTTTGCCAGTTAGCGAATGTTTATACGCTCACAGCGCCGTTGCAGGCGTCTGCCAAAACCCACTAGCAGGTCGGCACATACAAGTGCATAGCCAGCGTCTACATATGTGCTCCCAATAGAGCGACAATTTTGGATGCAGCCTCTCCAGCAGTAACTGATCGCGAGATGATGGATTTGCGTCCAAGGCTAGTCTGAGACTGGTGGGCGTCATGTCACTCTCAGGGGGGGGGGGGGTAGGTGAAGCATCGGAAGTTAGTGTTCGCAAGAAAAGGCCAAGCATCTTCATATAAATGAAGTAACCGCTCAACGTTATCAATGCGAAAGCCTACATCGTGTTCGCAGCTTGCTGAAGTCTACCAATATATTGAATAAGCTGCATCAACATTAATGAATCTTCCGCGTTTCCGGCACTAGGACGGAATTTCTCTCGGCTGCAGGGGTTATGTGCATAGCCACACAATGAGGAGTGTCCTACAATACGGGGTTGTGACCAAACTCCCTTCCGATGTTCCCAGATCTTCGACCATCGTTGCCTGAGAAACATCGGTCGTGTCACATGGCACCAGCGGACCGCTAATGGTAAGTAGCGAAAACGAAATTTA